AGTGGGTACTTTTTCAGGAGAGCAAAATAAACTCTTTTTTAGAGGGTGAATTCTAAATCAAACGCCCCCCTTTTGAACAAATGGAAAATTTTTAATTTGTAAAAATGAATGTTTGCTTCCTTGTTAGATTGCTATCAGAATAAAACGCTTACCGTTTGCTTCTTTCCACAAAATCACATTCGTTATATTTGCTTTTTGTGTTAATCAATGATATGTTTTGGTCCAATGTTTTTAATAGTGCGATATGTGGCATTTTCGGACAGTTCATTATATTTGTATTAAGATTTAGCTGCGTTTATTTGGTGCAATGTTTCCAAAATTGCGAAGGTGGCATCTTTCGTACAGTTATATGGGTCCAATTTTAAACGCATTAATATTCTTATTTGGAAGGATGGAAAATGAAATACTCTTAATGTTCTTACGAAGTTTATTACAAAACATTTAATTAAAATTTAAGTTTTAGGGTTAAAATGGAAAAATCATTTATAAAGAAATTATTAAATAGTATTTTTATGAAAGTACGTTATTGATCGAAAACTAATGTAAATTAGAAAAGTTAAAAATAAATACCATACAATTATGGAACTTCACGTCCTGTAGATACTCAAGTAATCAGTTAGTAAATAATGATAAATTAAGTAAAGTCTTAAATTTTTAGATTCAACGTTATTCAGTCTTCAGTTGCGTCAGGTTCTGGAAGACAATCTTCTTGGCAGTATTAGATGTTGGTAAAGATTTGGTAATATTGGTGGTATGGCTAGGTTCATAGTGACAAGAGGTGTTTTTTCTTACATCCGTAAATTGAAAGTATTTCGGTAGTATGCCTTAACAAAGTTTTACTATTTTCTTTGCTCTTTTTTGTATGGTTTCAAGAGATAAGAAGTTTCCGTCAATGCTAGTCTTCATGTAAGTTTGTTATTTCATTTTTTCGATACTGGTTACTTATACACTGTGGTGGACGACGTCCCAAAGGCAGCATTCTTTAATATTTTTTTAAATAATTCTCGCTTTGAAACATCCAATGTTTTTGGTTTGCTTATACCAGTTAACTGAATAATCAGATAATGAAAAACGATACAAACAAGATAATAAAGTTCTCACCGAAAGAACTTCTTAGAAAATAATCGAACACAATTATTGTGAATACGTGGTTTTGTTCTGTCAGCAATGTTTAGTATTTTTAACATTTTGCAAATTATAATTGAATAACTGTCATCAATTACAACTCTGAAATCTAATGTATGTAACACATTAAAAAACAAATAATTAAGTGCCACCGAAAGACTCTCTTGGAAGCAATTATTCACAAATTGTGAACACGTGCGTTTTGTTCTTGTCAGCAATGTTTAGTATTTTCGACAGTTTGCAGATTTTAATTGATTCAACTGTATCAAATACAACACTGAAGATATGAATGTGACAATTCGTCATTTTGCATTGTAATTATATGCCTTTAGTTATATTTATACAAAACAAATATCGAATATTCCATTTTCGTCAGTTTGCAGCATATTCATATTTTGACCAAAACAAAATGACAAATGTTCATATTCGATGGTTTAGACAGAATATTTCCGCGGTTTCTGATCAAGCTACGATTTCGATATTTTGTACAAGGTGTATCACGTTTAATGCAAGGAAAGGTAATCGAATCTGAAAAACCGATTTTTCACATTCGATAGTTGGAAATGGTAGGGACGAACCAACATCATCAAATTATCTTTTCAACACAAGATGGCAGCTATTCAATGTTATGTCCACAGACTTCTTAATATCCCTATGTCTCAAGAAAATTCATAAGAAATTCCATCATTAAACAGATAGCAAACAACAATGGTTTTCTTCTATATGTTGATAAAGTCATTAGAAAATCTATACTCAAAAAGAGACTAAACCAAGCTTTTAATGTTGATAACAAATCCAACACTACTTCTTATATAGATTCCTTAACTTACTTAGGACAATTTCAGAAAAAATTTCAAGAGTACTTGTTAATAAAATTAATGACTTAAACATCTCCTTTAAAACCAAAATATAACATCAAAGTCCATCTTCAGGCAAGACCAAAAGAAAAGTTGACAAACTAACCAGAAGTGGTATTTACAAGCTGTCCTGTGGGGACTGTAATATGACTTATGTAGGTTAGAACAATGAGAACTTGAATCAAAGAATCAAAGAACCACTCAACTAACCCAGAAAAATCAAATTTTTGGATTATTCACATTAAATTTAATAATCAATTCTTTTTCTCCTTCTGGAAAACAGTAAAAATTTTACCAACACTTCCTAATAAAAACTTAGACTCATGAATCTCTTGGAAGATTAGAAGATATCCAAAGAAATAAAAATAAACCCTGATTGTTGCTTTAAAACTCACAAATCAACCTCAATTGCAACTATAAGCTTTTTTAAATTATTATGGGAGACTTTAGAGGAAGAAGGGTGACCTCATGCAATCTTGTTATATATTTTTCATACTTTTATTTTTTAAACAAATTTTAAACTTTATTAAAATTTTACAACATTTTGTAATTCATTTTGACAGTTGTTCTTAATTGAAACATGAAAATACATTCTTAAAAAAAAAAAAAAAAAAAAAAAAAAATTTTATGCAAAGTTCTTACAATTTTCCATCAAGACACACAATTCTTAATACCTTAAGTATCAGATAACATAACATTAATACAGGTTTCTTCTTTATAGTGTTGTTGAACAATTTGAGCCTTGTTCCTTAAGGATAGCTGTCAGATTGAACATACATGGACCTTGAGCAATGACTTGAGTGAATTTACAAATTAATGTCATTCTGTATGATGTGATGAACACATAAATTTATTTTTAAAAATTAATTTTTAGAAAGTCCTTGATGACTAGTAGTAATTCCAAACTACTAAATAATTTTGTAAGAATTAAAAAAAAACAATCTCTATTTCCTATATATGACATTTGTCACCTGTCACTTTTGAAAAATCGTTTAAAAGGACCGACATTTGATTTCACTAGTTTCTATTCAGTCTACGTCCTCACATCATAGATGGTAGGGTCTTAAACCCGTACCATGACAAAAAATTTTTCAATTTTTTAACGTGTTTGTGACGTCCAGTGTCGACCTTTTATATGTTTTTTATGTTTTAAAAATTCCAACTCCTACAAAAATCATAATTGTGAAAACTTAAGGAAATGAGATCTCTCCTTTGTAGTGGTATTTTAAAAAATTGACGTAAGTTAAAAATTACCAATCTTTACCAATTAGTACTTATTAGAACATTTTATTGTAGCATAGCTCTGATGATGGCTTTGTAAAGCCGAAAGCGCTCAGCTAGGAATTGCCTAAAATATACACACTTCAAAAATACTTTTTTGCATTTTCTTTCGACTTGTCATAAGTGTGTACAAAAAATATCAGTCTTTTGATTGTTAATTTTAAGTTTTATTTAATTGATATTAGATCGAGTAAGCACATATTTTAATCCAAATATAATAACTTCAAATTTCCATAAAAAGCAGATATTTAATAAAGTTTAAGGTCGTTGGGGGGGGGGGGGCAGAAAATTAATTTAGAAAAAAAATAAAAATACTAATATACTAAAAAATAAACACTAGCAACTTTTTCACACTATTAGATACAACATTTCCAACTTTTATTTTTTCGATGCACCCTAATGAACAGAGATACGGCTTCGTATGCAATCATTCTTCTCAAGAAGAAGAATAACTTGGCTTCAAAACCTGAGAAAGCGTTTAATACATCGACAACCGGACTATTCAGAATAGCAGCAAGCAAAGTTAGGATAGCCATCTTGATCGCATACATCCGGAACGGGTAGGCACCGTAAGACGAAGGACAGGTTTTATTGGAAAACAAAATAATACCATTAGAAGCACCAATGTTTTAACTGTTCAAAATGCATAAACTAATACTATAAACGTGCTTAATATTATGGCTCACTTATTTTTTTTTTAATATTCATTGTGGCGTTTAACGTGTTAAAGAATTGAGCTTTTTCATTTACTGCCAAGTAAGAATTTAATAGGCATATACTTTAATGATAAGCACTTTAATAGCCAATTTTTAGTGAAAAACAATAAAACAACCTATAATATAACAGACGCCTATAGTGAATGATCTGATATTACTTCCAAGCGGTATTATTTTACCTTAACGGAATGATCCTATTGAAGAGAATACTTATCAATGATTCCGTATTTATATTTAAAAAATAGCCAATTATTATAGAAGAAAAAACACCTAAAATGGCATAATTTAATCGTTAAATTAATATTTGTAATATATTCTACTGTCCATTATAATTATCGATAAAGAAAATATTTTAATAGTTCATTATTATAGTACTGTATTTATTGGTAACAACGTGTAATTTGTACTATACTTTTATTCTGATACAATAAGGCATTTATTTCAACACGCATCCTTTTAATTGATAGCCAGTGCCAATCATTTAATTAGTCAAAACCCGAAATGAGCGCATTTTTCGGTTTTAACTGACGTCATCGGTCGACTATGTCCGATTATATCAAAACAACACTGGGTGCGTGAAAAACAAAATGCTAAGTTGGGAACTCGGTTCCGTCTAATAGTAGTAGTAGTAGTAGTGAATGAGCTTTCATTCGTTTCGGCGAGGGATTAGATTTTATACTCGTGAAATAGGTCAGGTTAGTTGGCGCCATGAATCTTCTTGGAAAAGCTCTCGTTTTTGTATTGATGGGTAAGTACACATGAAAATGAAAACTTGTTAGGGAAATATTTTCTGCGTTCTGTTGTTAGGTACTAGATTTAAAATACTAAGTACTACTACTTGAATAGCAACACTTAAATATTTTAATCTTTGTGATGGAACATTAAAACCTCTCAAAAAAAAAACTTTTTTTCTTTAAGATATCTGATGGAAATAGTATCTACATATTATGTTTTAGTTTTTACCGTATGATACCTGTTGCATAATTTACAAAATAATTCAGGACTGATCATTTTGAGTTTAATCAGTTTAGAGTGAAATTAAACATTTTGTTTTTTTACGTTGTCGTCAAGTTTTCAATCATGTTGCATGTCTCCTTATATTAATATTTCACTTTTCACATTTGCATTCATACAACATTTAAACAATTACGGAATTTTGTTGTAAGTTTTGATGAATTCTATTTTTTGTGTTTTTTTTTTTAATTTGATGACGCAGAAGTAGGTATTGATACTTTTTTATTTTATACATATCTATAACCACATTTATATTAAATGATATATTGAAGATCCTTTTTACCACAGGTAAGTTTTTTTTTTAATAAAGTTTACTAGTTTGCCGGCATATCTACATGTTAATACTACGCGTTACCTTTCAGTAGCGATATCTAGCAAAATGGCGTTAATTTAATGATTCATTGCCTTTAGCGAAGGTGTGGTTTTACGGTAAAAGCTTTAAAAATGGTTAGTGATAATGATTTATATCTAGTTTATGTCAAATTTCACAGAAAATATCCACTTTTTGACCCCAAATACCTTAATTTTTAAATTTGAGGGAACAATGTTGAAACCAATTTTATTTTGTTCTTTAAACTAAAAACTTCTTCTACTTTATATAAATAGGCTTAATGCCTGTTTTACTTCGTTTTTAGGTCAATTGACGTTGTTGACCATCTTTTCGGCGGTCGTCCCAATGATCTTCTTCCATTTGGCGATTTGTCTCTTGCTATTCGTACTATTCTATTTTCTGTCATTCAGTCGATGTGTTGATTCCAGTCCACTCTTCTTCTTTTGGTCTACGCGTTTATTTCCTCTATACCACATGTTGTTCGTATTTCTCACTTCTTACTCTGTCTCCTACTTTCATTTCTGTTGTTTACAGCGGTGCCTGTGTTTTTGCCGTTTCTGCTCTTGTTTCCGCTGTGTACGTCATTATTGGTCTTATTGTTGATTTATATATCCTGGTTTCGTTTCCGTTGTGAGGTATTTGTTTCTCCAGATTGTATTATTGAGGACATCCTGCTGCTCTGTTTGCCATGTTAACTTGTTTCTGTACTTCTTTTTCACTTTTCCGTAGCTTGACTGTTTTATTCCCAAGTATTGAGTTTCCATCACTTGTTCTATTATTTTGTTATTTACTAGTTTACATCGTCTCGGTTCCACTGATATCACTATCGCTTTAGTTTTCTTTGTTTACATCACCATGTTGTATTTGAGTGCCGTATCTTCGAATTCTTTAATTAATCTTTGTAGGCCATCTTCATTTTCGGCTGTTATGGCGTCGTCGGCGTAGCATATTATCCTTATTTCCTTTTCTCCCATTCTATATCGTCTTCTTTTTTTAACTTACTTTATGATTTCATCCATTATCAGATTAAATATTTATGGGCTTAGCGAATCTCCTTGTCTAATGCCAGTTTCATATTTGATAGGTTGCGTTAGTTTTCTTTTACATCTTACCATAGCTGCACAGCAACTTTTTTTTTTTATTTGCCTTATTACAAAAAAACTGCATCCGTGCATGATCTTCTTGTCGGAAATCCTTGCTGTTCCTCTTGCAGAGATATTCGTTCGTTTATTTTTGTCACTATTATTCTTGTTATCAATTTGAATGTTGTATTTAAAAGATTTATTACTCGATAATTATTTCGGTCTCTCTTATCTCCTTTTTTGAAGAACATCACCATGATCGCTCTCTCATTCATCTGGTATTACTGTTCGTGGTGATTATTTTATTAATAGAAGTTGCAGTTGCTGTGCAAGGTAATCACTCCATATTTTAATAGTTCATTTGGTATTTGATCTTCTCCTGGTGACTTTTTGTTTGTTTAATTTGTTTATTCTACTTTCACTCATTTTGAAAAGATTTCGGTCTTTTCCAGTTACTATATTTGGCGTTTTGGTAAAGGTTCTTCGTTTTGTTTTTCAAACTTTTCTGTCAGGACAGGCCACCATGTAATCCTCTTGTATTTGTTCTATTTCAACTAGTTCTTCATTTCGCTTACTTTGTTGTCTTATGAAGCCCATACTTGTTTCTGTTGTCCATAGAAATCCATCTCTAGTCCTTTTGTGAATCTTTTCCAGTAATTTGTTTTTGTTTTTTTTTACCAATTGATGAGTTTCAGTTCTTATTCTTTTATATTCTTCATATGATTCATTCGTTTTTTCTGACTTAAATTTTAGGAAAGCTTTCTTTTTTTGGTGACATTTTTGTTTAACCTCTAGTGTAAACCATGGTGTTTTCGTTGACACTTTTTGTTTATTATTTTTGTTCCTGGGTTTCTCGGGCAGCACCCAGAATATGTTTCTTAAATTTTCTCCAGCTAGTCTCTACATTGCTTTAATTTTAGATATTCTCCATTTGTATTTTCTGTTCTACCTTTTTTTGATATAATAATTTTATGGAATCATCTTTTAAATTTTCTATTTTTATTATTTCCTCTGAATTGTTTGTTTAAGCGTTTCTTTCCATCTTTCATTGAATTTTACCAAGTACCAAATAATAATCGCTTTCCACATTGGGTGACGTCAAACTTCTCACATCCACTATCTGTTTATGGTGAATATTTCTGTTTGTGACTTTATAATCTATCATTGATCTGTATCCTCTTGTATTTTTAAACGTGTATTTGTGTTGAATTTTATGATCAAACAATGTGATGGCTATTCTCAGTTCGTTTGATGTGCAAAATTCCACCATTCTCTTTCCGTTTTCAGTGATAACTCGTTCGTTAAACCCTATCTTAGGCAAGTTATTTTACAAAAATACTTTTTCTTTAAAATAAAAAAAAAATATTTTAGAATAAATTTTTTTTTTAAATAAGCACTCAAATTTATAGATCATATAAACAATAAATAAATAAAGTAAATTATAAAGAGGTAACAATTAATTTCATTTCGGGTGCTAATTAAAGGATGATTTTCACGATGTTCTAACAAAAGAGGGAACCACTTATTTTAAGCGTAACTCACTTAGCTTTGATGCAAGCAGCTTAAAAAACCAAATAAAGCTTTTTTAGACACTTCCAAAATTTTTTAATAAGTTCGCCAAAAAGTGTTTTATTTTTGGGTTATTCCACGTTGAAATATTCGATTTGGAATTTGACAAATAAGAACCTACTTTTCTTGAGCTACAACTCTGCTTCTACGGTGTCTACAGATTTTCTTCTTCTTCTTCTTAAGGTTCCATCTTCTAAAGAAGGTTGGATATCAACATGGCAATTCTTATTTTACTTACAGCAGCTCTAAATAGTTGGCTAGAGCTCAGACTAAACCATTCCTTAGATTTCGTAGCAGGAGGTTCGTCTTCTTCCTACATCTCTTTTACCTTTTATTTTGCCTCTATAATCAAACGTAGTAGCCCATAACGAATACCTCTTAATATATGACCGAAATATTCAAGTTTCCGCCTCTTAATTGTCTGTACAATTTCTTCCCTCTTATTAACCCTATCAAGGACTTCAATATTGGTAATTTTGTCTACCCATGCTATTCGTAGCATCCTTCGATAACACAACGCTCAAAAGCTTTCAATTTCTTAATCTCCAGTTGTTTCAATGTCCATGCCTCAGATCCGTAGAGCAAAGTTGTAAAATGTAGCAGCGCAATAACCTTATCCTTAGATCCATTCTTAGGTCTCTACTACACAATAGATGTTTCATTTTTACAAATTTTGCCCTTGCTATTTCTATACGGCTTTTAATCTCTTGCGTTTGTTCTGCGTTTTGACTAACCAATGTTCCTAGATATTTGTATTTATCTACCCTTTCTATCTGGATATTATTAATATGGAGTGTCTCGTTGTCTTTTGGATGTTTTGTAATGACCATGAATTTTGTTTTCTTTAAGTTCATTTTAATACCATATATGGTACACTTTTCATTCAGCCGTTCCAGTATGTTTGTTAGACTTTGCAGAGTTGAAGTAAATATGACAGTATCATCGGCATACTTATATTATTAATAATTTCACCATTTATTATCATTCCATCGTTACACTCTCCTAAAGCTTCTTGGAAAATGGCTTCGCTATATATATTAAACAGCAACAGATTTCTTAACTACTCAATTTTTTAAATTTTTTTATACGCTACATTTTTACTTAGATAATTTTTTTGATAAAATACTCTTTTTTGAGTTATTTGTGAAAAACCCTGTGGGAACGTAGTTTTTATTTTGAAAAATTAACATTTTTACTCGCAAACATCTCAAATTCCTTTGTCATATTTTTAAGTAAATCCATGAATATAAAAATAATTCTGACCAGAAAATAGTTGTATCATGGAGTATGTGTTTTTAACATTTTAATCTTCTTGATATTACAAAACCAAATTTTTACTTTTAGGCTAGCCGCCAAGATGTGTTTGTTATCAAATTTTTAATTTAACGGTCGCGACTTCCAACTGATTATTGTTGTTCCAAAAAAAATTTCATTCTAACTTAGTAAAACATTGGTAATAATTATACTTTATTTTATATTTTTCTGCTTTTAAATAGTGGCCCATAGTATGTATATACAAAAATCATTTTAAGACTATTTTTGGTTTTTTGTTAATACACAACCGCAAAAGTTTTGCATTATCAAAAATTATGCTCATTGCACTAACGGATTCTGCTATTTTTTATTATTTTAAACTTTTTTGTTGGTATTTACATAGTTGAACAAAGGTTTACTCAAACTTCTTTTGGGCTTATACCGAAAGGACCAAAACAATTTTTATTGTTAGTATTGTTTCAGATAAAACACATTGTT